AAAGGGGGATGGATTTTTCGTCCTGGTTTTCGAGCTCGATGCCATGGGCGATACGGAGAGAGGAAAAAAAAAAAAGATCTAGGAAGTAATGTCTTTGCATGTGCGATGCATGGATAGATGGGTGGGGGAGGTGCGGCGGTCAGTGGGCAGAGGGTTGGGGTGGTGAGGCTTCTCTGCATGGGAGGGATGTATATCCATCCCTATGCCTTGCTTGCATGGAAAGGACGAGGGGGGTTTTCTCTGTGGTGGAACAGAGATGAGAAATTTCCTGGAAAGCACCGGTTCCAGATAAGATAGTCAAGATGTTAGAAGGAGAAGGAGAAGGAGAAGAAGACTGAGTTGTGTCTCATCGTGATATGAAACGTGAGGTTCTTTCTGGGGGGGGGGGGGGGGAAAGACATATGAGGCGAGGAAGAGACATGTGAGGCGAGGCGAGAGATATCGAAGGGGTGATCGGCGTTGGTATGCATTCTATGAGAACAGAAACCTCGGCCAGATTGTAAAGAGCGTGACCGGGAATGCTCTGCAGTTCCCAGCATCATTGATTCACAATTCATTCATCTCATCATAATCTTATATTGACATGCTAGTGTTCCGCGGTGACATATCTCCCCAAAGCAAGACTGCCGAGGAAGGTCCCACCGAGAACCGAGAGGAAGTATCCCACATTCATAGTCATGATTGCCAGCATGCTATCGAAGCGTCAGTAAGGATTTCAGAGGCATGGGGATAGCGAGCAACGTACAGGAGGTAGCCAACTCCCGCGATGACGGTATCCATAAGCGCGCGCACCGGGTCAACGGTGATTCTCCAAGGGCGGACGCCCATGCCCCGCTTCTTCACCACCATCACATCCTCCTCGACCCCGTTCTCCGACAAAGTCATGCGCTTGCTATCCACATCCTGCGAGATACGTTCCGACTTGGGCAGCTTCCCGGCGACATTCACGTAGCGGCGGTTGAACTCGGCGTCCATCCAGGCCGTCTCCTTCCACTGCTTGACGGCCAGCAGGCAGCGGAAGACGAGACCGAGGATGATCAAGAAGATGCACGTTCCGGCATAAGCGCCCGGGGTGCTCGGCGTCCATGTGGTCGAGTAAAGAGATGTGGTGGTGCTGGTGAAGAAGGTCATGGACATCATGGACGCCGGCATTTTCGAATCCTCGGCGTGGCCGGCCATGTCCATGCCGCTCGTCGTTGACATGTCCATGTCCATATCCATAGCTGCGTCGGTGTTTTGATGTTTGGGTGTTTTGGTGTCGGGACGAAGTGCGAAGGGCGAAGGGCGAAGGGCGACAACGTGTTTTATTGACTCGGGGACTGGCCGCACAGAGTCGGATTAGAGTTAGGGCAGAGTTTGGGGACGAGCGGGCTTTGGTGGTGGTGGTGGTGGTGGTCGTCGTCGTTGTTGGGGCACAGGCGGAGAGTTAGAGAAGAAAGGAATTATTTAAATTAATAGTAGAAGGAAATTGATTAAAGGCATAGTGGATGGGCAGACGCATGATGGGTCAGAGCCTCAAGCCTATTTATTTAAGCACTCCATCGTGAATTCTCGCTTTTCCCAAGGTCCAGGCCGATGGGCATGCGAGCTACGACAACGTTTGTGCGTGCGAGAGTTTGAGGCAATTTGAGAGAGACTGCCCCATGCGGTCAAGCTCGTGACGAAGCTGTCACAAGTACGGTGCTCCGGTAGTTGTCTGGTCACGTGAGCGCATGCGAGAAATCTCTGCGTCGTACCGTAGAAACGGAGAAACTCGAAGTAAATGTTGTTGCGTTGTTGCGATGTTGCGATTTTGCGATGAGAGGAAATCTTTCGACCCGTGACCTCCAAGCTCCAAGCTCCAAGCTCCAACCTCCAACGTTCAACGTTCAACGTGCAACGTTCAACCTCCAAGCAAGCTCGACCTCCACCCTCCAAGCTCGTTCTCGACTCTCCATCTTTTCATCCGCGCAAGCATTCATGCATTTCACGTGATGGGATGATTGCCCTTGGCGATGCTGGACCAGACGGGGACGGGCCTTGGAGTGTGGAGTTGGACGCTCGGCTGGCCCTGGTGCTGGGTCAAGCATTTTCAAAACCCGCCATCTACTAGGTGCTACGCACTACGTACCGGTACTACGTAGGTAGTAGTACTACTACTAGTACGTACTACGTACTACGTACTACTGTACTACGTACCCACAGACTTGACCCACCGACCCGAACCTTACCAACCTTACCAACCTTACCAACCTTACCCCGTACATCAATCATCGAGGCGAGGGTAAACAACGAGTACCTAGGTATGCAACCAGTTTCTTCCTTACTCAAGTATCTCGCCACACTTCTCTCATTTGTCCGCGATTCATCATCACCATCAGGCTCGTCCATCAAAAACACTCATGATGCACCTGAGCAGATTGCTGCGATACATGCTCAATCGCATCTGCATGGGTTGGCTGGCTTGCTGGCCGTGATTCTGCGCCCGTTGACACTTCCTCTAACCTTCTAGCCTCCTCGTCTGGGGTTTCATCTTGTTGCGTCGGGAGTAAAAGCTTGATCGCCTAGGTCGATTGATCCTTTCCTCTCTTTCCTTTCTCCTTGCTCCTCCCTCCTCTGACCCAGATCTCTATACTCTGTCCGAGGTATTATCGGCCCTTCGCATCTTTCTTGCAAACCCTCTCGATTGTCGCCTCGGCTGGGCCATGCCAATTTTTCATCCCGAGTAACTCGTGTTTTCCAGGCCGCGCCTTTCTCTTCTCTTCTCTCCTCTTCTCTTCTCTTTTCTTTATTCGTTACCCCCGATACATTTACCATGCCATTCCTAGTTGCGAGACAACAGAGCCCCGACGACTCGATGGGGGAGATGTCGATGGGAGGTATGACCACGACCGCTGGCGTGCCTGGTCCCCTCTTCATGCAGGGTGTTTTCTGGGCCTTCGTTGGAGCTGGTATTGGGCTGGCCGTCCTTTCAAATATTCTCAATAAGATCTTATGCTATCAGCGGATCTCTGCGTCGTGGGACAATCCCACTGCTGCTCAACCGAAATCAATCTTTTTCAAGGCTCATGCCATAATATCTGCACTCGTGCGCGATTTTGGTTATTATTCGATACCACTTTCCATCAGAAATACCAAGATCTACGTTGCACCTCTGGGACCGGCAACGATACTGGCTGGCTACCTCGTACTACTCATAGTCTGCTCACTGTACGGATTCGACACCAGAGACGTCTCGCAGTGGGAGGACGTGGGACACAGAGCAGGGCACATCGCCATCTGTCAAATACCACTGATTGTCCTTCTCGCCGCGAAGCGGAACATCATTGGACAACTCACCGGCCTGGGATACGAACGTTTGGCATGGCTTCATCGATGGGTAGCTCGATCTATGCTTCTCGCGGTCCTGATCCACGCTGGATTCTTCCTCCGCAAATGGGGCGGAGAGGGCAATATTCTGAGCAATATCAAGGCGCATGCTACCACTCCGAGTGGGATTGCGGCCTTTGCGGTATTGCTCTGGATGATCATTACATCCTGCGCGCCAATAAGGAGGCTGTCCTACGAGGTTTTCGTTGTTCAGCATATTCTCTCCTGGCTCGGATTCCTCGCAGCGGTCTACCTTCACGTTCCAGCGGAGAACCAGAAATGGACCTGGATCTCCCTCGCCTTTTGGGGGTTTGACAGAATCGTACGAGCCGCCTCTCTCGCTTACATCAATCTGGGGCTTTTCCACCAGAATAGCTCCGGATTCCTGTCTTGCAAAGCAACTTTTGAGCCGCTTGACGAGAGCCACACCCGGGTCACCATCATGAATCCGCCTGTCACCTGGGAAGCAGGCCAGCATCTCTTCTTGGCGTGCCACGTTGTTGCACCTCTCGCATCCCATCCATTCACGATATCCAGCCTACCCTCCGATGGCAAAATTGAGTTTGTCATACGCGCAAAAGGAGGGGCAACCAAAAGATTCTTCAAGTACGCGGAGAAATCATTCCCTACCCGCCACCGCAGCACTACGAGGGAGTCCGCACGGTCCGTTCTAATCGACGGCCCATATTCGCGCATCCGCCCTCTCAGACAATTCGACAGCGTGATCTTACTCGCCGGCTCCACGGGCGCCACGTTCACAATTCCTCTTATGCGCGACCTGATGGAAAGCTGGAAAGGGCAAGGGCATTCTCGGAAATTGCACCTAGATCCCCCACCCGGAATCGTTACCCGCTACGTGCGCTTCATCTGGGTAGTTAAGAAGAGCTCCTCGGTCACCTGGTTCGGAACGGAGCTCGACCGCGTGATCCGCGACATGGATAACTTGCAGACTGACGGCCACCACATCAATATCGACATCAGCATCTACGTCACGTCCAAAGACGATTTCGCCGCTAGTCAGTCGGTGAGCAGCGTAGTGAGCACGGCGTCGACGATATGTGTTTCGGACGAGAACCTTCCTATGTCTTCGTCGAAGTCCGCTGAGTATGTTCCCCCGATGGATTGCGAGATGTGCCGCAAGATTCGCGATGACGAGAATGCGATTATGCCTGTTTGCGACTGTGCTACTAGGCAATCCAGGCCCCAGGTTAGCCGTGCTTCGTCGGCGATGACTCTGACGGAGGATACGCCTGTGCGCCGGGCTAGCAGTATTGTTGATAAGCGGATCAACATATTCAGTGGGAGACCGCATGTTAGTAGCATCATTCAACAGGTATCTGAGGTCGCGCTGGGTGAGATGGCAGTGGTTGTCTGTGGACCGCAAGGGCTCGTGCAGACGACGAGGAACGCAGCGGCAAAGTGTAGTATTGACAGAGGTGTACACAAGGGGACCGGAGCTCAGGGGATTTACGTTCATGCGGAGACTTTTGGGTACGCCTGATATGATATTTATTCACTGGGCTAGATCGGAGTTCTGCTGGCTTTTAAAAAAGGGGGGTATCATGGGATGGGAGCGTCGGTGTATCTGGAGCAATCATGTACATCTTTTTTGACGCAGCTAGACCTTTTGTAATTCATGACTTTTTTTTTCGTTCCCTACCTTGCTTCGCTTCGCTTCGCCCACGTCGTAGCCACGCATGTTCCTTTTTTTTTTTTCTCTCTTTTTTTCTTCTGGGGGTGTTACGGTAGCAAGAGATCAGCTGATCCGATCCGATGTGAGCGAGGACTACGGACGGCTTCCTGGGTATACCTACGTACATACGGCTATTCGGATACGAATGTTACAACCCCTCTCCCCTCACCATTCCATTTTCAAAACATCCCTCGGGACATGGTTGAGAGTACGGGACGGATACCGGTGTGGTTTCATCCGATCTGGCTTGTCTATTTCATACAGTACAGTAGAGAGTTGAGAGAGAGAGAGTGGACGGGGGGGGGAAGGGGACGGGGAGAGAGGTATTGAGGGATTTGAAATTCGGGGGATTCGGAGTTTTGGAGTTTGGAATTTTCGGGATTTGGGATTCTGCAATTCGGAGTTTTGGAATTGTGTTTGGTTGCGATGTTGCGATGCGAGGGAGATAGGTACGTAATGTTGCGAAGACGATGATGTGCTGGACAGGTGGTGGGTGGGTGGGTGTGCTTTTTCGTTGCGGTCCTGGCAGCTCTTGGCATGGTTCTAGGGATCGGTTGGTTTTGGTTAGGTGGTTGGGGGGTTGGGGGGTTGGTCGGCTGAGGCTACTGTAGTAGCGGCCGGCACACGCGTATAAGACGTCGGCCCTTCCTGTGTTGTAGGTCTTTCCTTCCTCGTCTTTCTTTCTGAATACCAAGCGTACGATTAGATGGTACTACAATACTATTCTATTCTAGCCGTAAGATTTTTATGGCGGTGGTATATTTTATTGCATTGTATTGTATTGTATATATGTTTGTGTATATATAAGTTATTTGATGTCTCTACGGAGATACAGCGCTCATATATACCTATTCCCCCTTGTTTTAACCCACGAAGCAGACAAGCTTCATCGAGCAGTACCTCTACGAGGTCCATCGCTTTGTATCTTCAAGCGCTTATTGAGAGAAGGTATGCCGGAGCGTTGTCGAGCTGTAATCTCATCGAAGCTGATGGGAAATTTTTACAGAATATTAACTAGTAAAATAATAGTTCTTAGAGTGTATATATTATTACATTATTGCGTTCGGCGACACGAATGAAGCGAGGGACTGCAAAGGTATTGCTCGATTAAGCTGGTTTCCGTAGTGGGTAAAGACAAAGGGGGATACCTGCATGACCGCTGTACCTCCGTAGGTACCTACGTAGTTATTGATATGGTATGCAGCTGCAAGATGCGGATCGAATTTCCGAGAGTGCGGATAGGTATGGGTATGGGACGGAGATGAGTATATATTTGGGCTTGCTACTCGTGCTCCTTCTGCTGCTCCATCCATTTATTTATTTACCGTAGAAAGTATCCGTTTGATCTTTCTCTTATTTCAGAAGATGGTGTTACAAGGGATCTGGAGACCTGTACGTGTCATTGCTTTGAGAGCAAAATAGTCCGTGCGGCAGCGATGGAAGAAGGAAAGAAAGAAAGAAGGAAAGATGATCTGTTCGCTTAATTTTATTTATTTGTTTATCTACGGAGCGTAAGACCCGCTTCGGAATGCAGGGAGATCGTTAGCGCTTGACGATCGGGAGCGGCGCTCAACCCTTACTTACTGTTTAACGCGCCAATATTCCTGATTGCAAAGAAACAAGGCAAATGTTGGTGTTGACGGAGTACAGCGAGGAGGAGTCACTGCAGTACTAGCGTCTTGGCGCTAACAAAGGCGCTAAAAGGTCCTTATAAGGCATCTTCCTTCCCCCATCCAGAATTCCTCAGTTCCTATCGACCTTATAATCTCTATAATCTCGCAATCAGTCAGGTCTCAAAACCTCGCCTTTTTATGTCGATCTCACTACACCTCGTCTCTACCTTTCTATCATTATTGCGACGTTCTTTAAAAGCTGAGTGCTCCTACCTATTCTTCCTTGGTTTGCCGCAGCCCCTTGGTCTTCAGTTTACAACAGCCTCTACATCGTACACTTAATACTCTAGTTAAGGCCCGGCGCTCGATTTAAGTCTAGTGACTCATACTCTACACTCCATCCAGAACCTTAAACAGACCTCAGTCTTCTCAACAATTTACAGACCTCAGTCGTCTCAACAACTTACAGACCTCAGTCGTCTCAAAAACTTACAGACCTCAGTCGTCTCAACAACTTCAATCCCTACACTTCATGACCGGCTTGTCAGCCTTACCACTCTATGAGCCTCAAGCCTGCTCTCGCATACATACACAGCCACAAGTCGCTCTAAAGGAGCAGGAGGTTCTCTGAGCAAGGTTTCCTACCTCAATGGTCAAAAAGGAGGTTTCCCTTGTTCGTAACGCAAATGCGAAAGAGATCGGAGTTGCTGGAATACTTTGACGTGGCACAAACGGCCTTTGGAAAGCCTCAACACGTGGCACAAACGGCTTTTGCCAAGCCTCAACTTCCTCTTTCAGCATTCCACCCTCTCGGGTTACGCATACGTCTCAACACTTTTTTATTTGAGCCTAATCCAGCTCTCACTTCATTTCACTTCACTTCACTTCACTTCACTTCACTTCACTTCACTTCACTTCACTTCACTTCACTTCACTTCACTTCACTTCACTTCACTCGGCTTGCAATTGGCCTCAGACAAGGTCTTCATCCAACTCTAGCTTCATAAGCTAGCTGTTTGAGAGCCTCGCTTGGAGCTGGAATTGCTAACCACATAAGTCTATCTTTCTCTCTTCATATAGTGCACGACGAGCGAGCAATGAATTGATGGTGTTTATAGCGAGGAGGAATCACTGCAGTACTAGCGTCTTGGTGCTAACAAAGGCCTCTTCTCTTCTTCAGAAGTCCTCAGCTTCTATCGACCTTACAATATCGCAATCAGGTCTCAAAACCTCGTCTTTTTACCCACCCGCCTACTTATAGTATTCTACATGGCAAACAATAGAATGGCCCCTTTAATAGGCGCGTTGGCTTCTGGCAAGGTCCTTATTCAACTATAGCTTCATAAGCTAGCTGTTTGAGAGCCTTGCTTCGGGGTCCCCATTCAGCTCTAGCTTCGTAAGCTAGCTGTTTGAGAGCCTTACTTCGAGCTGGAATTGCCAAACACAGAAGCCTCTCTTTCTCTCTTCCTACAGTGCACGACGAGCGAGCAATTAATGGACCAATTCCAGCAGGGGTACTTCGTACAGTCGATCTTCAGCCGTAAAGTTTTACGATGTTCGATCTACTGTAGCAGAGCCCAATGTGCCCAATGTGAGGGTTACTAGATGCTATCCCTTGCGCGCATCAAAACGCCTCCCGGGAACTGATCAACATTCTCTCACTTAGACTAGCGATCCATTAATTTTCCAGCTCTCCTTTCCAGTTTGACACTGATTGCACATTTACCTCGTTCATTTTCATCAGCAAAGTCCGTCTTTTTCGTGTCAGGTATGAGGCGAGATGGATTCTGTCTTCCGAACAGTGTCCGAAGCATGGCGAGACCGTCATCTCTTCTTCGCTGAAAACCACCAGGCGACGTACCAACCCCTCGCTAGACCCGAGGAACTCGAGCTTCCCTCGGGCTCGAACTCAGAATACGACGCCGAAACGGCTACACTCGAAACCTCGACCGCCCTGAAAGAAGGATATGCCAGTCCGCGAAGCAGCCCCGCGTGGCTCTCGGAGCTGCTGCCGCGCTCAGAACGGCTGTCGAAGCTCCTCTGCGCGATACTGGTCATCCTGACACCGAGCTGGCTCACCCGAAGTGATGGAAAAGTCAAAAAGTTACACCCCACGGCATGGCTAGACGGACTTCGAGGCGTCGCTTCTCTCCTGGTAGTCTTTCATCACTCTTCAGCCCTCTGGTACATGCCTCTCAACCGCGGCTGGCACAGTTCTCCCGAAGACGTGTATTTCGTGCAACTCCCCATCATCCGACTATTCTACTCCGGTCCAGCGATGGTCGCCATCTTTTTCGTCGTCTCCGGCTTCTCGCTCTCCTACAAACCACTTTCTTTGATTCGCAAAGGGCGATATGAAGAAGTGCTGGATTCGCTGTCTTCGTCTGTGCTGAGGCGAGGATTGAGGTTGGTGATCCCGCCGGCCTTCGTTACGTTCTTCAGCATGCTGTTCGCCTACTTGCATTTCTACGGTTCCGGTCGTGACAGTCGAGAACCGCCTCAGTCTCCTTTCTTCTGGGAGCATCTGAAATCGTGGTACTTTAGCGTCATTGGGCTATCTGACCCTTTTCGCCCGAACAACTTTCCCGGAGGATATCAACCAGTCTACGATCCAAATCTGTGGACGATCCCCGTGGAACTCCACGGCTCGATGGTGATCTTCACCACTTTGCTCGGTCTCTCGCGAGTCCGAGGGCCATGGCGTGTGGGCTTGCTCTGCGGCATCGTATTCTACACAAGCTACTACGCCCACTCACACCTCTTCCTCTTCCTCTCTGGCGTCCTTCTCGCCGAGCTCCACCACGCGCGCGAAGCCCGCTCCCAGGCCCCCAAATCCCCAACCGTCGAAGACCCAGCCAGCTGCAGCACTCTCGCGCCACCGGCCCCCCCGCCGGCGAGCCCGCGCTGGACCGGCACGCACGTCTTCTGGCTCCTGAACCTCGTCCCCGCGCTCTGGGTCCTGAGCATGCCGCCCATCGACTTCGGCGGGGCCCAGTCCCCGGGCTACATGACCCTGTCCGCGTACCTGCCCTCGCACTACGCGGACATCCCGATGGTGAAGGACACGTTCTGGGTCTTCGTCGCCGCCTTCTACCTCGTCTTCATCCTCGACGCCGCGCCCTTCCTGCAGTCCGTCTTCACGACGCGCTTCGCGCAGTACCTGGGCAGGATCAGCTTCGCGCTGTACATCTGCCACGGCACCTTCCTGTACACGCTCGGCTGGAACCTGAGCGAGCGGACCCTCAGCTGGACGGGCAAGGACGGCGAGTGGGAAAAGGCCGTGGGCATCGCGTTGGCCGGGTGCGTCATGTACCCGCTGCTGTTTTGGACGGCGGACGTGGTGGCGAGGGAGGTGGACGCGAGGAGTGTGCGGTGGGCGAGGTGGCTGCAGGATAGGATATCGGTGGGCTGGTAAAGTAAGCCTGTTTTGCAATTTCCCCGGACGGCTTTGGTTTGCCGGGGACAGATTGGTTTAATATGAACCGGGCGTCCTGGATGGAGGGTTGGGATAGAGGACCTTGAATTCGCCAATGCGTAATGTGACGCAAATGTTGGATCGTTCGAATCTGATCAATCACCCCATTCCTTCCTCGCAGACACTTCGTTGACTTCTTGCGCGATGAGGCACATGAAGGTTCCCGAATCTGAATACTGGATCTTTTGGAGCTCTTATAGAGAAGATGTACAGTAAGGCACATGTATCATACCACACCTTCTTGACGGCGAAATTGGCAGCAAGATGTGTATGCTTAGTTTCCATCATTATTAAATGCCTATCCGATAGAGGCCCCAAAGTCTATTTATTCCATACGGTCCATTCGCGCCAATCTTTATTCCGGAGACCAGTCATCAAGGGGTATGAGGTGGTCTTCGGCGCCTATAAACCTCGTCGGTTGACTGTGGGCAGGAGGGAGAGTAGGACGAGAAGAAGTTTATTATGGAAGATTAGACAAGAGAGCGCGATTGGAAGCCCCGGTAATGTCCTTCTTTACGGAAAGTGTTTAATAGGAATCAGATTATGAGGAGGAAACAGAGGGTAGGGTATGCCCACTTTCCTCGTCTGGGGAGAGCGGGGGTAGAGGAGGAAATATGAGGGCCATGTTGCTCTGTTGCTGCTCTGAGCTTAGGAGAAGGTGTTTATTGTCGAAACACATTGAATGGGTAAGGGTTAATTGAAGCCAGAACAAGAGCACAAGATGGAAATGAGACGGAGATCGTAACGAGTGAGCCCACCCCAAAATACAGAACCGAAAAGGGTTTCTATGGGTAATCCACCCGCTCTCGAGTCCCAATGCGGATATGGGAGTGCTGCAGCCCCATTTCCATCCGGCCTCAGCTGAGCGAACGCAGTGCATCGTGAGCTGCAGGGATTGGGACAGCACAGCTAGCTAGCCAGGTGACACTGGTCTCCGAGCGGATCCAATCCATGATAATTCAGGTCCCGAATCAGAAGCAGAATTTCGAGCTTCATTTTCGCCACCGACGATCGAGGTCACACACTTGTGCACTCGAGATGTTCAAGTACTGGACACGTGACACGTTGGGATGTTGACAGTGAGTCGATCGCCTCTCGCCTATCAATACCCCTATTTTTGGTCGGCCCCGCTAGCCGAGCCGCCGAAACCACCACGGCTTCGAATGCCCCACTGAAACTCTAGCTTTGGATTTCCATCCGAGCTCTGCTTTCTCGGGAGGATCTCCCGTACGAAAATCCCCGAAATCTAATTTACATCTTCTTCGATGGAAGAAACGATTCGAGTTCCTTCTACATTGTTGCCGCGTAGCTGATGGAGCTCCCATGGTGAATTAGGAGGAGAGGAGGAGAGAATGGTGGTTGTGAAAATAAGCGACAAAGGCCCTGTATGTATGTGGGAAGGGAAGTTCTGGACCAGAACGTCGAATAGGCTCCAGTGTTGATGGATCTTCAGTTCTCGAAAAGAACCTGTTCTGCTAGAGCGTTGAATCGGGCGTCAGGTAGAGCAAATTCGTGTCATAGTCATCGTCCCGATTCCGCCGAAGATAAAATGCATCTGACACCGCACTTCTGGTCAAGCCTTGTGAGAGACATTCCATTGATCTTCATCTACTCTGTGTTACTTTCCCGTCATGATTCGTATGATTCCGTTTCGATCAGAAATGCATGTTCAATATATCTAGGGCAGTCCAGAGTAAAGTGGTTTGGAACGGTCCAGATCTGACTTTGATCGGGGTAGCAGTGGGTATCTGGAAGTATCCGTCTGATTCAAGCGACTGTGTTTGAATTTCTCTGCGACAGGTAAGCCTTGGACGATTATCTCGGGAGCATACTGACCATGTTCTCAAGTGAGCCTCGTTGACGTGCTCCAATCTGAGGGTTGTTGCTTGCAGAAATGGTGCAGTTCTGGGCTCTTCTTCCAAGAGGTCTCGAGTTGATGACAATGGGGCCCAAAACAGACCTGATGTTGGAGATATATTTTCTGGGACTACTTTTGCCGAAACGCAGCCCTCATCTTTCAGATTCCACCACTTCTCTCCCACGCATATAAGTAAAATAGATTGGTCCGAGTCGAAACAGGAATGCAATCCTCCAGTCGGTGGCTCCCAAGACCTCCTACTTCCTCCCAGGCGAAGTAGTAACCATGCCCAAGTAAGGCAGGCTAGCTGTCGGTTGCTCTCGGTCGCAGGGACAGCTAGCCTTACTAATGCACGGTTATATGCGTAGTATAAAACCTTGAGAGTTGAAAACAGAGGTTTCACCAGGTAGGTAAGGGTTTCCTAGCTGGTGGAATTCCATCTGATCATGGACACTTTAAAATACATTGCGGTATACAACAAAACTTGAAATCCAAAAGCGCTTTTTATAGAAATCTACAAACCCTCAGAAGAGGTAGGTGATTATCAGGAGTGGAAGGAAATACAAGAACCAGTCGCGAGGATGGGTATGTGGCCCCTAATGGTTCAATCAAAAAACGAATTAGATTCTTGTGGTTGCCGACTTTAGTTTGATGCCCTTACAAAAGTCCCTAGCCTGGCGGTTCTATCCTTCTTTTCAAGTCGCTCAGGACTGGCTGGCTGAGGAAAGGACTCAGGACTCACGGCAAATTTACAATTAGCGAGCATGGCGCCCCCCAAAAATAGTTGTATGCTGATCATTGACAGCGGGTCCTCGCGTCTATCACCAGTCTTCGAGCAAGCTTATCAGCCGAAAGAAATTCTTATTATTCTACAAGGATTCTACTGGTGCAGCTTGAGCTTGTAACCTTGATGGCTGGCTTTAATGCAGCAACAATCAAGGTTACGGAAGGGCCGTCAGCTTGTTCTTGTATCCCAGCAGCGCGGCAGAACTAAGCAATTAAGCGTAAGAATCCTGCTGATATGCTTCTTTAGACGAATTTCTACCTCGAATAGAGATGAGGAAGATGGAGGGTACAACCTCGTGCAAAATATGCCTTCTTCAGCTCCCGAAGCCAAATCTGTCACACTATCGTATCGACGGACGACAAGGATAGTGGTATCTTTGTCAGTGACGCTAGTTCTTTTCGTCGAAATTTGGGATATATATCTCCAATCGCATTGCTGGGCGGCCTCAAGTTCGTGATCTCCAACATCGGCGCCGGCGTGGAAGTTTGGTGTTTTTCTAGCGTTCCTACTACCCCTCAAGGTGTCTTGGCTCCCAGCAAACTACCTTCCTGACTTCCAATATACCCTCCTGATTGAGAAAAGGAATCAAAACCTGGCCTGGAAATTCGGGGAGATTCGCATATAAACCGTTGCTGATCGTCCGGCAACATCTCTCCAAGCAGTAAAGCAACACAACACCACACCACCCAACCTTCACTTCTTCACTTCACCCAATCCGGGTAGATCGAGACCCTAAAGGCAAGATGTCGGCAGCTTTCGATCCTACGATGGTTAACCTCGACGAGGCTAATCTGAAAGACATAATCTGTTACTTGAACAAGGGGGAGATTGAATACGATGGTCGGATGGGAGCTCGCATCTCGGCTCTGTTTGTTATCCTTGTGATTTCGTCTTCAGCAACTTTCTTCCCGGTCATTGCTGCCAGAGTTCGATGGGTCCGAATCAACATCTTTGTTTACCTGTTCGCCCGATATTTCGGTGCAGGAGTCATCGTTGCGACAGCTTTCATCCAGTAAGTTGTCTTGTGCCCCTCGGCTAACTTCAGCTCCCTTTCAATCATCAACAACAACAATACACTTCACGTGAAGCTAATATTCTTTTAGCCTTCTCGATCCAGCATATTCAGCGATTGGCCCCGACACATGTGTAGGCATGACAGGCAATTGGGCTGAGTACTCCTGGTGTCCAGCCATCGTCCTGACGTCCATCACCGTCATATTTCTCATGGATTTTGGCGCAGAGCAATATGTCGAGCGCAAATACGGGTTCGCTCATGGCCCCGCCATCGAGCAGATCATTACCGAGCAGCCCAATTCAGATGCAGAAGGAGCACATACTCACGCCGCCCTATCTGGATCTATTACCCACAACCAACTGCATTCTGGCGACCAAGATCAGGCTTTCCACAACCGGATGTCAAAGGCTGAGAACATGGAAGACCGTCTCAAGACAGACCGTTCCAAGACGGAATCCAGTGATTCGGAGATGGCCCTCTCTACACTATCCCCCGCTGAAATCGAGGAGCGCTCTTTCCGTCAGCAGATCGCTGCCTTCCTCATCCTCGAATTTGGAGTCATCTTCCACTCCGTGATCATCGGTCTGAACCTCGGTACCGCAGGCGAGGAGTTCACCACTCTCTACCCTGTCCTCGTCTTCCACCAGTCCTTCGAAGGTCTCGGAATAGGTGCCCGAATGTCAGCTATCCCGTTCCCTAAGCGGTTGTCCTGGCTTCCTTGGTTTCTGTGCTCATGCTACGGTCTCACCACACCGATTGCTATCGCAATCGGTCTGGGACTGCGCAACACGTATGTCTCCGGCAGCTTCACAGCGAGCGTGATCAGTGGTGTGCTGGATGCCGTCTCAGCTGGTATTCTGATATACACTGGTACGGTGGAGCTGCTTGCTCGCGACTTCCTGTTCAACCCTGACTTGACGAAGAGCCCGAGAAGGTTGACGTTTATGATGGGCAGCGTACTATTGGGTATGCTTATGATGTCTCTTCTCGGTAAGTGGGCTTAGGTTAATTGCTTGCTGGACTCGAGTTGGAGAGAAATAAATGACAAAATACCGTTATATGGGAGAATTTGTTTGTGATTTTATATGATATATCCATTTGTTTTTCGTTTTGTTTTACTTCTCACTTGTGCTTCGAGCACCCCCTTTATTTTCTCGCTAAGCATCATGGAGGAATGAGGGATATGCCAGAGAAATCCGCTAGTAGAGTAACAAGCGCTCGGCCCACGATGGGTCCAAAAGAAAAATTAAAAAGGAAGGTTAAAAAACATATAACAGCAGGTATTCGCTGGTGGTCACCCACCCAACTACTAATCTGCCGATCTGAGGCTTGTGTGTGGCAGAGCGAACGGGATGCCCAATTCTCCTCAGTCTATGGTCGTATGTATCGGCTGTACTTTTGTATAATTATATATATCTATCAAAAAATTTCCCTCCTTCCAGCCAGCACTGTTCCCGAAGGGAAGGAGCGAGACTGTTGGATTGATACCGACCACACTATTTAGTCATTTGAAGTTATTGGTCGAATATCTAGTGAGAGAGTCAGACTCTAGTTTCGAAGCCATGCGGCCTATATTGCAGAGAATGACCATCTTGGATGGTCGAACGTCCCCCTTTCCTTCAAAATGTTCAGGGTTCTCGGAATTTCCTTAAGAACATGCAAGAGGATTGCAGCTGCCATGTACGGCGGGCTGATATTCGGAGTTCGAGTCTCATGAGATGGTTTTGTGCTTCGTTTGATTCAGGGTCCTAATCGAATGGAGTTCGAACTTTCTGACTTGTCACTTGACGAATGCTCGAGACCCACACTCTCTGGAGGACGTATGGTCTGACAGCTTCGCTTGCTTCATTTGAACGAAGATTAAGACGGTGATTCTATCAAGAGAGCTGGCAGCTGGCGTTTGCTACATCTTGAAGGGATGGGGTGATGGGACACCGATATGAGGGTGAGCATCTTAGTAGGAAAGTGCTCTATTTTTCAAGTCAATAATGGCGCTGAGGCGCTTCCTAATTCATAAGAGGGAGCACCCAAAAGACTGTCTATTAGTCATTGCGGATTTTCGTCTCTGAAAAGATACCACTGGAGACTCTGCAAATTTTTCGATCTCGTGCTTATCTCTGGATGGTCGCCTGGTATAATCCAGTAGGCTGAGGTCAGCATACCAGCCGTCCACCTTGGAGTCGCTCTTGCTCATCCGTCAGCTTCAGAACAAATTAAAGCCCCGATGCAGCTTTCACTGCCCGGGCCAACCTTTCATCCTGGCTGAAACCAGGGAATTCTGAAGTAATGCCTCAACAAGATCCGGCTTGAGCATCCTGGTCACTTGCACATAGCTGGACTAAATTCCACGGAGTGAGCTCGCCGTGCTTTTGAATTGATACCAGAGGACCATATTGTCTCTTCCCTGTTCTGGTTGTCTGTTGATGTAAATCAAAGCATCCTCGTCGAGAGAACTTGGAAAGGGGGACTCGATGATTTTATGCGTAGTTTGCCTTTGAAACCCTTCATTGGCTAGCCAGTCCCTCCCCTTTCAATCGCTTTCGCTCACACTAAGGCACCAATTCAATGCGCTGCTAGTACCTAATAGAGAAGAGGCAGTACGGGAACACACTCCTCAGCTTAATTCGGTTAGTTTTACTCCTCGAGTGTTCTCGGCGCAAACGGGGGCGGGACTAGGCAGGTGGAACAAAGTGTATGTAAGCGGGATCTCTACACTGTGATTCATCCATATCTCTCTTTTCTCTTCATATGTTGCTGTTGGATTTTGTGGACGAAGTCCACTGTCCTCTCCATGCTGTATACCTAGTGATCACTAAGTCTACCATAGGGGCAAGCTAGGAGCATGCAGGGGAATCGTAGACAAACACGGAGTGGAGGGGGAAATCAGTTAATGGCCGAAGAATATAAAAATATGTAGGCGATTGTATTTCTCGTGGAATAGAATTTCGACTTTTGGGCCCTGATTCATGTCATCTATCCAGTTCAATACTCAAGCTCAGCATCTTTGGTGTCGATGTGCCATGTGGTGTTTGGTAGGCTGTATACTGTTAAAGAAAGACAGACATCTGTACTTAATGAATTGCGCGATTGAGGAAGACGACGACTAGATGGCTGAGGTAAGTATGGTGGAGGACACTGGGAAGAAGTGTTTGCTTTCATCGAAAGATATTTGCTTTTATAGAATGTCTAAGTCAATTCATGACACACAATGGAGAAATACAACCTTGAAGTACTTAGCTTGAGCAGACAATCCTACGCCAAAACAAGATGGGATGAGCGTATGCCTAGCCGAGCTGTATTTTCTCCAGAAGTATATGAACTATGACAGAAACATTACGGGGTGATGAATAATTAGAATCTTCTTTAACTAGAACTTGTGAAGAGGCGATCAAATCCAAGAATAACAATTTTAAGGATTTCAATGTCTCACCAGCCGATTGCTAATGCCACGTCAAGGCACAATAGTGTTTTGAAACCACACTTGACTCGCTTCGGGCTTTGGAAGCCGCGGTCCAACTGCATGGGGAAACTATATACTACCCCAGGAATTGTGTATATCGTTAATTGATGAAAGAACACGCTCATGCTGGCATTGTAATCAGTATCACAGCCATCTTCTGTGATATTTTGCAAACTCAACAGAACTGGACTCGGCTTCTGGGTGGTCGGTCCATAAGAGAAAGATAGAGAGACAGGCTAAGGACGACTCATGTCCCGCAACACGAATAACATGACTTGTGACACGGCATTCGAATCATAACCGGATCAGTATTCGAGGAGTAACTTGTATCACCTCCCAATAAATTCGTTATCTGACCACGAGGTCTGGTAATGATGTTCCAAGTATGAGGTTGCGGTATCCTTGCACTCAGTGAGTGGACCAGAGCTCAGCTTTGTTTCCGTAGCCTATGATGCGTCTACCATATACCACATAGACATTGTAGAGTTTCAATATCCACCCGTTCCGCCGTTAAGAATCGGCTCGCATCCTTAAATCGCATCGCATGCGAAGCTTACTTCTAAATTCCCTATAAATAAACTGTAGAGCCGAAGCGAGACCGGGGGCTGCAAGTCAGTCAGTCAGTCGACCTTGACCGCGAGTCGTCTCTCACAGCTCGACCTCTGACTCGAGAAGCGCTCCAACACTCACGATTGCCAACACACCAGATCAGGGAGTCGACGACACAAAGATTCCGAATGAAATGAGGCTTTGCGACCCGAGTACACCTGCGTCATGGGAAACCTGGGCGACCTGTCGCCAGAAGGGAGCGTAGCTGTCCGTCTCTCGCTCCCCTTCCTACCTTCAACTCTCCCAACCCTCCTCAGACTTTGAATATTACTGACAATATGGGATCCGCAGATAGGTATTCTCGTCGGTCTGCTTTCGACCAGCATCCAAAGTCTCGGGCTCACGCTGCAGCGAAAGTCTCACCTCCTAGAAGACGAGAAGCGCCCCTACGATGCCCGACGCCCTCCCTACCGCCGGCGGCGATGGCAGCTGGGCATGGCCATGTTCATCCTATCGAACCTGGTCGGGAGCACTATCCAGATAACGACGCTACCACTACCCGTCCTATCTACACTGCAAGCGTCTGGCCTAGTGTTCAACTCGATTTGCGCAACGTTGATTCTGGGAGAGCCGTTCACGAGATGGTCTTTGGGAGGAACACTGCTGGTGAGCAGCGGCGCGGTGCTGATTGCCATCTTTGGGGCTATACCGGAGCCGGCACATAGTCTGGATCAACTGCTACAATTGCTGGGTAGGAGGACATTTGTGCTGTGGATGGTATTCCAGCTCATACTGGTACTTGGAATTATTGGCACGGCTGCATTCTTGTCTAGAATCCCAAGCATATCCTCTTCACCACGAATGCGGCTCCTGCTTGGTCTGGCATACGGTTCCATCAGTGGAATACTATCTGCACATTCTTTGCTCGTGGCGAAGTCAGCAGTAGAGCTGCTTGTACGTACAATCATCGACCGCGTCAATCAGTTCAACAGATGGCAGTCCTGGGCCATCCTCCTGGGCCTAGTTACCCTTGCCCTCACTCAGCTCTACTATCTGCACCGTGGGCTGAAGCTAGTCTCCACCAGCGTGTTATACCCGCTCGTCTTCTGCATTTACAACATCATCGCCATCCTGGACGGACTTATCTACTTTGAGCAAACAGACCGTCTCTCAGCCCCACAAGCTTGCCTCATCGCTCTAGGAACCGTAATTCTGCTCTCGGGAGTCCTAGCCCTCTCCTGGCGCCTCTCAGACGAACAAACTCCTTCACCAGTGGCACAGAGCGCTCTCGCGCCCGGCCTCGGTTTCGTAGAAGATACGGACAACGACGAGTCGGCCGACTTCCTCATCGCCGACGAAGAAGCTGCCGTCGGTGCAGAGAACCAAGCCCTGCTTCGCAACGAGCCTTCAACTCCTACCAGAAAATTCGATGCAGTCCTAGGTGCCTCCAGACAGGCCCGCAAGACGGTACGACTTACGGAAGCAGATGAGATATGGGGCGAGCTGGAACACGATACCGCGAAGGGGACGCCCTCCCCAGGGAGACCACCGAGACGAGCATCTACGAATCTGCCGGCTTCGGCGTCCCCGACAGGGCTAGCAGAGGAACCGGACGAGAACACCTCGCTTTTACGAGTGAATACATTCCAGCGGAGGAGGAGGCGGCGTTCGACTGGATTCCCGGGATTCACGGCTAGACCATCACCACGCGGAAGTGGAAGGCGGCAGAGATCCCAGGATGCTACTGGCGGATTCTGGGCCATGCATTGGTGGAAACGAGGGGATGGGAGTAGGAAGCCGTCCTCTAGCCCTAGCGGTGGAGATGGGGGCGCTGGGCCTTCGGAGTCGGTGATATTGTAACAACATCACATTCACACTGAAGAAGGGGCGAGGAGAAAAATACGAATTGGTATCCGGCCGCTGCTAGGCAGGCACAAGGCTTCACAAAACTGAACGGAGTCCGGGCGTTATCTTTTGGGGAACTGGGGCTAGGGTCTAAGACATGGATAGGGCGTTTTTCATTCAAAGACGAGGGTCGTTTTTCATATGTACGATGCACGACGGCTATCTAGGATATCAGGGGCAGGGCAGGGCGTTTAGAAGGAGGACAGACAAAGCTATGAAGCAAGTTTATTTTAAGGGCTCGGCTATGGAATCGGGTATTGTACACGGGCAGAGAGAGGGAGTTGGAATCGCGTTTTTACAGAGAGCGCAGAAGACAGGGAACGGACGGAGAGGATCGATTGCCAGAAATAATCATCAGAGCAATGACTAGATGGTCATGTCTGCCTCCGTATTGTCTTCTTCGCTCATACAATATAAATCTTTTTTTGACTAGCTAGGTAGGTAGGCAGGTATATATATATATATATGTATCTATATTGGTCCACATTTTCCTCTCTCCTCTCCTCTTCACTTTTCCTTTATTGTTTTCCGTCACGACTAGAAAAAAAGACCTTTCCCCTCTCCCTCTCCCTTCCCTTTTTCGCTCTCTGCACAGCCAAACCATCCCAGTCAACGAGCGAAAGAACTGCGGAAAAACTGCGCGAAAACCGCGAAGAAGTCACGAGAGTGGAAAAAAAAAAAAAAAAAAGGAAAAGAAAAAGAAAAAGAAAAGGATACGCAAAAAAAGGACACGCAAAAAGGCCGATTCAAAAGCCAACGGAGGTTCAAAAGCAAGAAAGGATACGTACGGTATATGAGCTCAAGACTTGAACATACATACATACATACATACATACATACATACATACATACATACATACCTTACTTGATTTTTTTTTTTTTTTTTTTGCACTTACATACATATACTCACTTACTAACTTGCATACGGTAGGTATACTTACTTACTTACGTACTTAACTAACCCTCAGACCAAAAAATTTCCACGGATTCCGAGTCTTCAAGCTTCCACTCCAACGTGCATCCTTGGAAGAGCATCCACATTCATCGATTCGTCCATTTCCATTTCCATTTCCATTTCCATTTCCATTTCATTTTCATTTCCATTTCCATTGCTTAAAATCAAAAGAAAGAGGAGAGGAGAGAGAGAGAGAAAGAGAGAGAGAGAAAGGGTCTCATCCCCCCTTCCAACTCCATCCAACTCCATCCAACATCCAACTTCCAACCTCCCAAATCTCCCAAACATCCCTTCTAAAATGATCCTATTCATCCATCCACCCACCCATCCATCCCACCCCATCCGGACTCTACATACATACCAAACAGGATAAGAAAAAGGAGGAACGCAGTGCTTCCTTCGAGAGTAGCGATCCGAACCCACCTACCTACCTACCTACCTACCTTCTCCAGAGAAGAAGACTCGTGATTCAAGTAGGACAGAGAGAGTCAAGTCACATTAGGCAAGAGGCAAACAAACCAATGGCATAGAACGTTTGTTTCAAGCAGGTCGATCAATTCCATCCGCCGCGGTAGGCCTCACCATATCAGGGCCACAGAATAATACTGTACACACAGAGACAGAGAGACGGAGACAAATAGGTAGTTGAGCGACAGAGACATAGACAGTGGCACAGACAGAGAGATAAGAGAGGATCGTGTAACCTTCCGGCCCCCTAAAACCCAGCGCGAGAAAAAAGATAATCAGCCCAAGGAAATTAAAGATTCGCAACCCTCAATTGAAGCAAGCCTGGAAGCGAAATATCTTCCCAAAAACGTTTCTTGAAGAATCCTGCCCGACCCGATCCGACCCGGCCGTTCACCCCATCCCGTCCATCAACATGCGTTCATCGTCTGTCATCAGCCCTTGTATCCGATCAAAAACCCCTCCCCCCTACGAGAGAAGATGAAGGAATATTAATTGATTATTCCACGAGTGTACCGTTTTCGATTTTCAAATGAGCCAGTCGAAGAGGAAGAGGAAACCCCAGGAAGAAGAGAAGAAGAAGAAGAAGAAGAAGAAGAAGAAGAAGAAGAAGAAATCGACACCGTAACACCAATGTGACAAGGATGAAAGTGTTCAGGTCTCGCAGGACACGAACGTTGTGATGCGTTGTATTATGTGTCGGGTATCAGGTTTAAAGACGACCCCTCCGTGTACTGGGATGTAAGCTTGACTTTATGCTTGATGCGAGTGTTGCTGGGGAATTCCTCCTTGAGGAGGCATCGGGTAGCTGCCTCTTTGCTGCTGGGCGACGTAATTTTGGTAGGCCATAGCTTGTTGTTGCTCGATACTCTGCGGCATGTAGCCCGGGTGCATGTTTTGTGCCTGCTGTGGCATTCCGGCGCGTCCTTGAGGCGGGAGATGTTGCGGGGCCGACTCCTCTGGCGACTCGACGGTGTTTTGGTCGTCGACTCCATTCTCTCCATTGCCAGCGGGTTCGGGGGCGTTCAAGCAGGCCTGGTAGGTGTGAGTTAGTAAGTGCTTTGAGTATCGAATGGCCGCGCGCAACGTACTTGTATCAAGTTCTTTCCTTCCGCCTTGGTAACCAGAGGTTGGAGCTTCGGGGTTGTGAATGTGTAAACCAGGCCGGTTTCCGATACGACGAGGAGAAGGACTTGAGTACCCGTGAGGACGGACAACTCGTATGCCTAATAGTTAAATAAATGAATCAGTAACTTTCCGGCGCGAGAGCGATCGCAACTGGCGCGACGCGCGAATTGATGCGGTTGTTGACTGACCTTTTTCATGATGCCGGCTTTGCGCTTCGAGAAGGTGATGTGACGACGCGACTTATCCGTGATGAACTTGATCTCGATCTTCCTGCGCTCGCGCCCGGGCTTGTCATCATCGTCATCATCGTCGTCGGCTGCGGCGGCGCGTTGACGCTTGACGCCGCGACCCTCGTTGCTATTCCCGACGGCGTGGTCGTCGAGGGCGGATGGCGAGCCCTGATCGTGTTGGTCGGTGATATCGGCCATAGTTGATATATCTTTTATTTTTTTTTTGGGTATGACGAGTTTGACTCTTTTGAGTTGCGTGCCGGTGACCTTACTGGATATGGGGGTACCTTTGCTTGTCGCAGAAACCTGGTCGCGAAGAGCTGGATTGAGGTTGGCGTGAAAGGGCAGATCCGAGTCAATCAGCTACGACGTGAGGGACGAGAAGAGACTGAGCTCAGCCTTAGCTCAGCTCAGCTTAGCTAAGCTGAATGGGGGAAGGAAAATACTGGAGAAGGCGTTTTCCGACGAGGGGAGGGGGAAAGCTGAAGAGCAAAGAAGTGGGAATTAGCGATTGACTGATAGGTACCGGTAGATAGACAGATAGATTAATTGATTGATTGAGTGATTGACATTGAGGGCTGTGCGGCGGGTATGGGGATGGAGCGGGACGACAGAAAAAGAATAGATT